GAGTTATATACCATTTCTGGCGAAGATCCATGAAAATGATCGAGATATAATCATAAATAATGCCACCGAAATAGCTCTGGTAGTTATCGACTGAATTTTGAACTTATTTTATGATCTGTTTTAGGGACGTAATAACTATTGTATATGATATATTAAAATATGCAAATCTTTTCAAAACGAAACTAAAGTGTTGAGAAAAATATCAAAATGGACACAGAGAAGTCTTAAAGGAATAATTTCGGTTCTCTATAAAAATCAGTCAATTTTATTTAAATCAAATTCACTTCAATATTTGTTAACTGAAAAAATTTATAATTAATCTAATTTAATACCCACACTGTTATAAACGGATTACATCTTAAGGTTTTGCGAACATTATTCACAGCTGAGAATTATGAGTCAATAGTGGGTGATCGAAGCAGAGCTTTAGCAGAGGTGGAAGCCGGACTAGGGTTCAGTGTTGAAGAAACGGAACTGGCACTACTAACGACACTGTATTCGTTGTATTGCACAAACAGAATGCGAGAACCACTGAAATTGAGAAAAGTACGTATTTAATATAATCACAACTTTACTCAATTCATAGTAATTGCTTTTTATATTTTCGATGAATGACGGACAAAACCTGGGTAATTTTATATTTTAGTTCGCAACACAAGTAGTGAACTGCCTTCGTATTCATCTCACGTCAAATGGAGATAGAAATACTCACAAAGTAGTCGGTGGATTCTTAGTGAAAATAGGAATGCTGCTATCTCATATTAATACCGGTAGGTCCTAACACACAGAAGAAATCGTATTAAACAAGAAATGAAGCAAATATTTATTTTCTTGAAATTATTTGGATTATATTTAATAAAATACACATTCCGGACTAGTTTTTATCTTGTTTGAATGTAATCAGTTCATGGATTGATCTACGGCTTTCGTAACTGCTTTGCTATCAAGATGGAATTTCTTGACTTCTAGCTAAAATAAGCCACAAAATATTGTCGAATTAAAATGTGTCGCACAGGCCAAATATTATTCCCTTTTATTTTTGACGATTTATGTCACTATATTGTCTATAGATTTATTCTTGCTTAATGTATTTAAAACTAAATTTTTACCGCCAATTATTATTTTTGATCTTAATATCTCTATATTTATTGCATGTTATTCACTTATGTAGACTGATATGTAACTCGCGCAATTTAGTTCGGGAGTTTAGTTCTTTATTAGCACTCAGTGATGAAATTATCGTATGAACGTGGTATAATACGAATATTTGTTACCAGTGTTACGAATATTTGTTACCAGTGCTACGAATATTTGTTACCAGTGTTACGAATATTTGTTACCAGTGTTACGAATATTTGTTACCAGTGTTACGAATATTTGTTACCAGTGCTACGAATATTTGTTACCCGTGCTACGAATATTTGTTACCCGTGCTACGAATATTTGTTACCAGTGCAGGTGAAATGAAGCATTTGAACTGATATTGAAATAGATGAAGTATAAAAGTTAACTGTGCCATTCATTCTGGTACAGTTATCTTCATATTAGCTATCTGAGCTTCATTTTCAATGTAAACATCGATTATCAGTCTTTCTGCTTGCTATATTACTCAACAGCAGTAATTTGTAATTAGAAAAGATAAAGAGGTATATATGGTTTAAATCAATGCTTTATTGACTTACAATAAAGATGAAGAACTGAGCAAATATTGTGGTGCCAGCTGAAAGCATCTACAGAATCAGCAAACATAGATGACAGAACACAAACTACAAAGCAGAAATAGACGACTGCCATTTGAAATAATTTACAATTAAGACCTACAAACATTCTGGCATTCAGTGGGTATGTGTGAGAAGTGAATGTAAAGAATGAATGGATGAATGGCTCGTTCGTTTCTGTAGAGATAGTTGAGAGTTTGCTATTATCCGAGGATGGAGGAGAAGCTGTCAATAATCTCATGTCGTTAGCATTTAGTACTTGAATTACTTGTAAGAAATTAAATAATGCAAAAGTTACACTAATTCTGTAGTCAAGAATATGGGATGTATTGCATGTCAGTTATAATATATAAAGTTTAAAGTATTCTAAATACAAAAACTGAGCAGTTAGGAGGGATTCGAAGGGTGTAAGCAGTGAGATCAGTGAGTGGATATGAGGGACTTGCGTGGGTATACCGCTGCTTTTGCTGAAATGCGAGGGTTTACTTACTTCATTGAAGGCCAAGACCTGTACTCTACTCTGCTTGGCGTGTCATTTGATTTATTGCGCTTCATAAGTGTGCTGGCAGTCAGTGTGAGGGACGGCACAGCGCCGCCTTGTTGTCACTCACTTGCAAATACATCTTCACATCTCTCTTCCCCTATTCTCTTTCAGTACTCTTTTTCAAATGCTAATGTATGCTGTTCTTATAATTACTCATTCTCTCACTCATTATCTTACTCTTTTCATTCTCACTCATTTTTTCACTCTCTCATTTCTTTTCCCTCAAACTTCCACCCTCTCATTCTTTCACTCCTCCTGCATACATTGTGAGATAGAAGCAGATTTTTGGGCAGTCTAAAGTGACGGTCTGAATAAGTGAAGAAACATCCATTCAAGTATTTTGATTTTAATTATTGAGATTGACTCTTACGAAGAACACTTGTCTGGTGCTGAATGTAAGAGGAAGTGATGACTTCACAGACTAACTAAGAAACGAATAACAAGATTTTTCTAGAAGAGTAGTGAAGAAGTCAGAGATGATCTGAAAGTTAGAGGTATTTTGGAGAAGACAGCAACAGTATGAATGATAGATTGCCTCTGTGAAGGAAACGATAAAAAAGCGAGAAAGAATTGTTTGCTTTTCAAAAAACAAAAACGAATAATGATGGATGGTATAGAAGGAGTGAAAGAAAGGCACTTTGAAGCAGAAAGTGTGAGGAGAACTATACAAGAACTGGATTTTAAAGCGTAAACTGTGAGGGCTCACAAAGCTTACATCAATCAAAAAGTCGTACGTAGGAAAGGAAAAGGGTGTGCACGCAATTGTAGAAGGGTGCGAAAGACCGTCAAGTTACCCAGCCAATTCATGAGCAGAATCACTGAATGCCGAAACTAAGTCATCTGTTAATTCGCATAAAGGGGAGAATTACGGAAATGATATTAGTGATATCAGTGCGATTCTGTTAAATTATTAATCCTGCATGCATAGGAATTTTTGGTGGCTGAAAAAAAATGAAAAACAATACTTGTGGAAGTTATATGAATGCACTGGCCAGCATCAAATGTGATTTGGTTTTTTTCCTGGAATTCGGAATTTTTTTCTGATTAAGAGAGCTACTTTCGGTATCTTAAAGGTAAGATACTATTTGCATTTGTATTCTAAGAATGTGAAAAAGGATTCAGAAATGCCTCTCTTCATGAAGTAAGAGACAAAGTTTAACTTCCAAACTTGAATGCATAGACTAATTTATATTTTCTCTAAGTCAAAATAAAGCATATGTGCAGTGTTGTGAATCAGATCATACCAAATATATGGTGTTTAGAAAGCAAACACTTCAGAAATTATATATGTGAGTATTTAAAATATGACTTCAATTCGCCATTAAAGATAGCGCCTTTATTTATTGAAAATAACGAATATTACACAGTTGCAGTTAAAGGCTTTCACTCATAGTGCAGTGAAATTTTCCTTAAAGCCATCACTTTGAAATTCAGAATACAGAATGCTTATTGATGTCAAGTGGAAATTAGTGGAAAAATTTGGGCTTAAACTTTGGTATTTGATAATATTAGTCTGAAATTAACAGGATGTTTTTCATTAACATAATTGAAATGTTTCTTTTATGAGAAAGCTGAAATGTTTTTTGAAGTCATGCGCACGAAAGACTTGATTTCTTATATCTTTTTCTTTAACAAATTACTATTTTAGTGCATAAAACTGTCGATAGTACTATATTTGTGTCTTAGTATAGATGAGAACTACGTAATCATCGTGGGTTAAAGGAAATAGCAATGTATTTCGCGCAATTAAATTTAATTCAGTCTTGCAAATATAATGAACTAAATACATGGTGAACATTCGTGCAGTGTAGTGCAGTTAATACACTTATTTTGAAGAATTTTATTCTGAATAAGTTATTTGCAACCTTGATCAAATTTAACAAACTTGCTACCATGTTAAGTATTAAGAAAGAGGAAGTGGAGGCCTGTGATTTATTTATGATCATTCTGATTGAGGGTTTTATCCTGTACCTGCTCCTGATACAACATTGCTGTAAATTGATAGTAATTAATAAAAGTAGTAATAATGATTGCCAGATTTGTCTCATTTTTCTCAAAAGCTGCTGTAAAACTGTTTTCAAAAATTATGCACAGCTACTACTTTTGCCAAAAAAATCTTATAGGGTCAATGCAATGTTACTAACTACAATTCTTTATAGTTTCGTATCTTTAACACATTATTATTCACTGTAGCTAAAATCTAAATAAGCAAGACGAAATGAAATTGGCGATTTTTTTAAGTCTACCAATAACTTTTATTTTGCGCGTTCATTTGACTCTTCAACATGCGCAGTATAGTAATGACCCAATGCAAGTACTAAAATTATAACATCTGAATCAAGTGCAAATTTTTGTAAATTCAACAAAACTTATTTAAGCAGTAATTAAGAAGTAATCTTCCATAGTAGCAACACGGTTTTCTCTACTGTGATAGACGAATTAGCTGTTATGCTCATGTGTCTTAACTAATTTACCCGCAGCTATTAAACTGAGGTAGTTCTTTTAATGTGTGAAGTTCAATATATATTATTCATTAGCTGCTGATTTGTGCAATGATCAGGTGCAGTAACGACTCAGACAGATAGATATAAAGCACTGTATTGTTATGAATGAATGTATGAAAATAATAATTACCATCAAAAATATATAAAGTTATTAAGTGATCTTGAAGTACTTAGTAGAGTAGATCTTGAAGTACTTTAGTAGAGTAGATCAAACATGAAACGGGTTTGCTCTTAACTGAGAAGAATGCTTTAAGGTGCTAAGTCTGATTTAATTTCCCTGAAAATTTTGATCTGTCATCAACTTTATGATGCGAAAATTCGTTAGTTGTGCTTGAGACTCCAATAATCATTCGAAATTCATGTTCTAAAGTGCAATTCTTTAAATCGACTTCGAAGAGATGAAATCAAATCACTTGGCGAAGATTTCAAATCTGGCAACTAAAGCTTAACTAAACATACACTTTGAAGATAATTAATTGTGACATACTGTACTGATTGAATTTAAAGTTTGTTCATAATGGTCTAAAAAGAGTACGTTTGATGCAGTGTAGGATTATATGAGAAATGTTGTCATTTGAAGGCAACAATTTAATAATGTGTTTCTATCCACTACAAGCCATCATTCATTTGTCTTTATTTACTATATTAGAAAATATGACTAAATTGTGAATCTATCTATATGCATAACTGCATAAATGCATCTGTATGGTTGTTTGCATCAATTATTGCTTTTCGTAAATTTTGAGGATCAATGAAGTTGATTGAAAAAATTCAATTCAATACAATAAGTACATAGTTTTTTGTAAAAATTTAATGGTTGACACATACATACATAGCAAAAATTTAGTATGAAATTTACTAAAAGTGAAAATTTCTGATTCTGAAATTAAAGATTACTCAGGATGCAGAGAAATAACTGTAAGAAAAGTTTTCGAGTTTGTTTATTTTTATGATTCTTGGATAATGTTTTCATTTCAAAAATACTTCATTCACATGTTACCTTCAAATGAAAGATTACCATTTCCGATCAAGAAAAGTAGATCTTTTTGATCTCACGCAAACATTCTGAAACGTTTACATAAAAATTGTGAGCTTGCATTCTTTTTACGCCATTCTAAATGTAATTTTCTAATTGTTTTTGTATAACTTTTTTTAATTTTCACATTGAATACAAGACAAACATTCCATTTGTGTTTAATTTTTCCAACTAACGTCAAAAACTTTCTTGGAAATTTACAAAAGTATGCTGAAATCTAATTTTGAAGCTAAGAAGAAGACAAATTGAATGGATTTTTCATATAAAATTTTATAGTGCACTGATTGTCACAAACAAATAGTAAGTTCATTGAGAATGGAAATAAATTTCAAATTCAAAAAATATATCTTCGTATTTTTTGTTTTTTGCGACTTTTATTTAAGCCTCATAAATATCTAATAAAATCCTCTGCTATATTAAAATTTTCAAGAGTTGATTGATGCCTAAATTTTTAAAACACAATTCAATTTGTAATGACAATTTCAAAGTTATTACTTTAATTCAAAACATTTCAAAAAACTTAATAAATTTTCAAATCTTTGTAGTGTTTTGGTATGCTATTGATAACAAAGTAATAACCAATCATGCATTAATTTTTAAAATTTTACAAATTTTTTTCGACTATATTCGACTCAAAATTGTTTCACACACTTAATACTGTGCAATTTTAAGTATAAATGAGATAGCAATGAAATTATTTATTTATCTCTACTCAATACTGACTTTCTTGTTACAAAAATTATAATTTATTCGAAGAAGAGAAATAGCACTTTTAATTAATTACTTTTAGAATATTCTTCTGTGGATTTTGCTTCCATCATTTCCTTAACTTCTTCCAATTGCTGTAATTTTTCTTTGTTCAAAATGATTTATTCTTTTTTAGCAAAAACAAAGAATATATCTGCTGCATATTATTTGAAAAATAGTTTTTACAATGTTTAAGACAAATTTTGATTTTATTATTTACAAAGGCACTCAGTTAAGTATCATTTGTGAAGAATAAAAGATTAATAGGAGGTAAATAAAACTAATTTTTTAAAAATCCTTTCAAAAAATAAAAATTTTAATTATATTCGAAAAATAATCAAAATTAGTAATTAAATATTCAAATGCTAGAAATGATATGAATTTCAGTGAACAAACTTGAAATAAAAAGTCTGCACATTATTTGTTTTACAAAGGGAAGTCAGTTTTACCCCTTTTAATCCATCATTCACGTTGGTTATGATTAGAAGGCTCTGTTAAAATAATATTGCAACAAAACAAACTTATGAACTGTTGTATACAAAACTGAATATAGTGTTGTAATACAAAAGAATTCAAATCCAATTTTGTTTGACATCAAAAAAACGTTTAATTTATTTTTGGAGGCAAAAGAATATTTTCAGTTTTCAATTTTTTCTGTACTATTTTATTTCCCATTTAAATTTAGTAGTTTCATGCATTTCTATTAAAACGCATACCAAAATGAATTGTATTCTAAATCGACGTGCATCAATCATTAAATAATATTTTTTCTTTCGTGTTATAACTTAAAATAATTATTGACATTTTTTTCTTATATCTTTTTTTTTAATGATAACAGATTATACAGTTTTTTTTTAAAACAAGTTAATTCACATATCGTTTACAGTTGAAGTTACTGTCAAAGTGTTAGATGAAGATATTTCTGTAGGTACTTTTAGCTGGCCAAGTGATGTACGTTGAATCGGACAAACAGATTCCATATGTTTGTTTAAATAACTTTTCAACGCAAACAGTTTTCCACAACCATTACATTGATGTTTTTTAATGCCTTTAATACAGTTAATTAATGACGATGACAAGTAAATTTTTTCAAATATCGAACAATGCTTGATTCTTAAAAATTTTTTGAATGCAATAAAGAAAAAAATCAAAAATTCTTGAAACGTTAATTTTTGAAATAAAATTTAACTTATAAGATGTTTGCATCTAAGTGAAGAGAGCAATTTTATAGGCAATAATTTTAGCTGTTTGTGTAGTAAAGCGTAATGTAATTTGTTAGCTAAATAATATAATATCAGTGTACCGATTAAATGACAACTATAAAAACAAACTATACTTCAAACTTATCGCTTAGTTAATTCCATTTTTAAAGCTTTACTTAAATAGTATTTGTTTGCATGAATATTATTGCTCATCCCTTCCATTCCTTCCATTTTGAAGCATTTTGTTGGATTGAAGTCAGTAATCCGTCTATCTACACTTATTATGAGAAATTCAACCAAACTCAATTAAATCGATGACTAAGTAAGTATGTACATTTTGACGTTACTTACTTGATTTAAGTCAAAATGACGTTATTTTACTTGATTTAAGTCAAAATTAATAATATTGTAATGGAAAGAAACATGAAACTAACCAGAATGTGTATGCATATGAGCACGTAAATTGCTACGGTCAGCAAAAGCTTTGCCACAATGTGCGCAACCGTAAGGTTTTTGACCTGTATGCGCTCGCATATGACCTTGTAAAAGCCACGGTCGTGAAAATATTTTTCCGCATTGCGTGCATCTGTGTGACGCTTTATGAGTCAGCATGTGCATACTATAAATTTTTTTATTCACATAGACATAAAATCGTCGCAAGCTATAAGGAATACAAAAACTGTTACTTAGCTAATTAGGACTTGTTGACCTTTTATCAAATAAATAATTATTACAGTGTATCTAACAGTAATTTCTTTTTACAGAAGTATAAAAAGTTTGTTTTTTAGTTTAAAAGAAACGAAAATTTCTCCTTTTTGACAGTATTTAACTGACTTCAATATTAATGCACGAAAAGTTACTCTACCGTAACAAGTAAAGATTATTGAGATATTACCATCTAAATTGTTTCACATCTCAAAGAAAAACAAAGATGAATAAACATGATTACAAGTAATAAGTGGAATACTCATTATGAGTAAAATGTTAGAAGCCAGTTTAGACGCTTATAATTTATAATAACTTTACAGCAAGTAACATTGTAATTACAATTATTCAAATGTTAACTGTATAGTACTTTGCAAATCTGTGTGAATAATTTCGATTTTTAGCTAGTTATAGCCAAACAAATATCATTACCTCAATGCAGGCATGCTGACGTAAATTCGATCACAATATGAACATTGTTTTGCATAAGGACTGTCTAAAGGTCTATGTGTTTGCTTATGACGTGACAGATTTGATGTTGTAGCGTAAGATTTACCACACTGATTGCAAATTAGCTTACCAGGAGGGTCTACTGTAGACATCTGAATATTTAAAATAAGTTGTTTCAGAATTGAAACAGATAATTTTTTTATGTTCTTACTAACTGATAATATTGATAATCTGAATTTCAATAAAGTAAATAATCAGTAATGAACAAGAAGCTTCATTCAATGATTAGTGATGCAAATTTAAACGTGAAACAAACTTCTTTATCAAAACTCGATTCTTTCTTACGTTTTGATCGTCCATCTGTTGATTGTAAAGCATCCAATGTATACCTTATAGTAGTATTTTCGCAGTTTTGTCGATTTAAAGTTGATTGTTCCATTTAAAAATAAATTAATTAAAAAAACAAACAGAAATAGAAATGAGGATTAAATTCTGAAAAACGAATACTTACTTCAACAAAACTGCTCTCAGGTAAACTGATATTTACAATCGTTTCGGATGATTCCCTTTCACGTAATAAATTTTCTATTGTAAACGCATTAGCCTTATGATTTTTGATCTGAAATGTTTTGGAATAATAATCTTTGAAAAATATTAATTATTATTATTGCATATTTGATTAGTTCCAGAAGAAACAAAACTATTTTTTGACGACATTTACCACGTGACTTAAAATTTATTAATAATCTATTTGACATTTCGATTTGAATATATTTAATAGCAAAAATAATTTTTAAATTTTCTCTCATATAAACTGATTTGTTTTATATTCTTTAAGAATTTTTGATAATATTATTACAAGATAATTCAAAATAATAAATGAGTTTTGACTATTTTTCATCGCATGTGCTTAATGAAAATAGTTGTAAGGTAGTGTTTAGTAATTGATACTAAAATAAATTTTTTCTTGTTTAATTTTCAGCTTTGATATTTAGATTCTTTTTTCATTAAAATCTCTTTACTATCAGATTTAGCAAACTATTTAGATAGAATAAATTGTATAATGACTGTAAACAGTATATCCATCTGTAGCACAAGCATGAATACGATAAATTTAGGCTAAAAATTAATCTACAAGAAGTACTTTCTTAGCAGACACCCTACTTTGACAGAGTTTAAAACATAAGCAATTGAATAACATTTATTTTTTGAAGCAAATAGTGGCATTATTGGTAGTTGAGGCTTTGAAGGTGAACTTCCTTCCTGGTGTCACTGGATAGTAGTGGTAGTAGACCATAATTGGTGTTGCTTTACATAATTTGCTTTTACTTCATAAACTAGCCTCAATTATGTTAGAGTATAAAATCTTTCCGAAAATTTTCATACATAATACTTTTTTGGAAGTAAATATTAGGCTTAATATATATGCTAAAAAATAAAATTGCTATAAAAAACATTTTTGCTAAATAATATTTGAAAAGTTTTCAATTTTTTTACAAGGCTTGGTGAATACAAAATTTTTGTGATGTTTACAAAAAAATATTGTATAATAATTATTATTATTAGTAGGCAATACCTCTCAGTAATATAATCAAAAATTTTTTTGAAAAATTTCAACTTATCAAATTTTTAGTTTGTAATTTTATTTATATATTTAGTATTTTTATTAAAAATTATGTATTATTTTTTCATTTTCTTTTATTACTAATGCTTGAATTCAAATTAAACTTTATGCTTAAAAATGTCATCTTATCTTTCAAATATTATCACTTTTTATATGCTAGTTGCAAAAAAAAAAAATTATTATAATGAGTATAAATAATTAACAGATATTATTACTGATTATAAAACTCGTTATTTTTTTAATAAAAACATTGATATATAGCTTGCTATTATTTACTTCAATTTAAATTATATAATATAGAATTGAAATCAAATGTCATTTACGTATTACTTTAAGGTTTTGATACCTTTCTATTACTTAGATTAGTAACAGTTTTTGATGAATTTTCAGAAGAACTAGGTTCTGATGGTAAATGACCTTTGGATGACATCTTCCGAAGTCCATTTTGGACACTCAAGTGTGGTCCCATATCTGAAATTGAAATTTCAGCCTTTGATTATTCATCAGACTTTATCATTTAATAATTGAAACTTTCTTTTTTTTTTTGCTAAAAATCTCAAAGAAACTAGTTTATTCAAATTTTCAACTTATATATGCTTTCAAAAGTGTATTTTAATTATTATTTTTCAAAAATAATATGTACTTATCGATAGAAATATGTGAAAGGTTGTGTAAAATTAAGCTTTAAGCTCAGTCAATTTTATTATTATAATTTCTGTAATAACTGAATAAAAAGGCGTTCAGTCATACTCCTAAACTACATTTGTATTAGCTAAGAAGCATAACCGATCATAACACTGAAAAATGTTTAGAATGACAAAGTATGAATAATTTTATTCTATTAAGCAAATTGAATCTGCTAATTAACCTAGAAAAAAATGAAGAGTAGAGGTTGGAAAAAGCTAAACATTAAGACAAATATGAATGTGTGACTTTATCAGCAATTTTGATATTGATAACATTTCTGAAATTAAAATTATCGCTTATCCTAAATAGTTTTTCTATTTCAAAAAAATGAAAATGATAAAGTGAAATATCAATGATTAGTAATGTTAGTAAGCAAAAAAATACAAATGAATGCAAAATTTACTTTTAAGAGAAAATTTTCTAACTTACTGCACAAATCAGAATTCATCTGTTTGATAAGAATATTATTGCTGGTTAAATCTAAAGGAGATGATGTGAATATAGGCAATGATAGATGCGTTAATAAGTAAGGAAAGGGAAGTATCATTTCTGATCCTGACCCGAAGTTATTTCTGAACAGTATATTAGCATTGAAGACAGGAACTTGACCTTGATGTTCCTGTTTTATTTCAGGTAATGCTAGATGTAGCTTCGATGAATTACACAAATCATTCAAAAATTTTGTTGGTGTTGATAATGATGATGGCCAGCTCATCACTAAATGATTTAAAATTTTATTGCTACAAAAAGTGTTACTCAAAAAGTTTTGATTGTAAGGTTTGTATTGATAACATAAAATCTGCTTCTTATAAGAATAACTTTAATACAGAATAACAGTTTTACAAGTTTAGAAATAAGCACTTTGGATACTATAAGTTTACTTCTGAAATAACAAAAATATAATGGAAAAAAGTAAATACAAATAAAAATGAAACAAAATTAATTTAAAAAAGAATATTTATTAAACCGAAATATTTAATTTAAATATTTTATGTGTTTTTGTTTTCTGGAAGAATTTTTTGAAAAATTTAAACTCTTTTCGTCCACAAATCATTTCATCAAAAAATATTGCCAAAAAAAAATGCAAAAGTTTTGTCTACCAAATTGAAGGCAGTAAACAGGTGAATGAATGAAAATAAGCCAAGAATTTTCTGGCCAAGCAAACGGTGGCTCTGTCCTTTAAGCTTTTCCATCTTCAAGAGCTTATTTATTTGCTGACATGTTCAGAAATGGGTGTGCGCATGGTTATGGTTGCTGGACAGGGGCTTGCCTCATTGCTTGGCATTCTTATTGGTTGTTAGTGAGCAAAACTTAGTCAAGCTAGCTAGCCTATACTTGTTTCATATTTTAGACTAAATTTTTATGCTTGTCTTATTAATTTTGCTTAGTTTCATTTTTATTCTATACAAGTAGAATAAATGTATAATTTTATTGTATTCTTTTATTAAATTTTACTTCTTCTAAACTAATCTCCATCGAATAGTCTAGATTGTGTATTCTAGCATATAATTTGCTCAAATGATTGAAAAAATTATGATTGTATAATTTTGCATTTTATGCAAAACGAAAGGATTTATTATCAAAAAAATCTTAACTATTTGGTTTCAGTCACTTTTTTGATTCAATTTTTGATATCAGAAATGTATAATTTTTCAATCTTTTGTATGATTACTGAAAGTTAGTGCATCTTTAATGATTTGCTAACAAAATATTTGGTTATATAAGGTATTGTAGTGGGACTTTATGATTCGAAGTAAAGAAATGGCCTTTGGATTAAAGAGATGGAACAGATGGATATGCCAATCTTCCTTGTGCATTTATTCAATACTAATGCCTGTGATTGATTGCACAGATATGATAATGTTTTGATAACTGTATGACATTACTTTGATAATAAATCTGCTTACAATAACTTTTTATTCATTTAAATTGTTTATTTATGCACATTTTTTATAACTACTTTAATTTGTGCTTAATACTTTTTATCAATGAATGACATATGAATAAATGTGATATTTTTGCAAGATTTTCCATTAGTGCATTTTACTGATTTATTTTTATGACTACTATTTCACGCTATCACGTAGAAATTTACGAGTATCAAAATCAAACGAAAGTGTATTTTTGTTCTTCGCACATTTTTTCAGTAATATTAAAAGTATAAAAACTACAAAAAGTTATTTAAAAGTACTACAAAATCATACAATAAAAACATATTAATATCATACAACAAAATCATATTAATAAAAGAAATATAAAATTAAGGCTTTACTATTTTAAGTTTAGTAAATTAATTCCTTTTTTATTTTATGATTTTGAGTACGATTGTGTCTTATTTATTAAGTAAAGGCTTATTAATTTGATAAGTTTTTTACTTTCACAATTTATCAGATAACTTTGTTGAATTTATTTGCCAATTCTAATGAATATTTATTGTAAAATTAATCAGAAGAAAGCACGATATTCATATAATGACGTTTGGTGATAAGTATTATTATTCATTGGATTAAAACATGGTTGACCCTCAAAATCCTCCTTGAAAGGTGAGCTTGAAATCTTAGACTAATTGCTTGAGTGGTTTCATTGCGTCAAATGTGTCATCTGATACAGCAGTAACCCACAATTCATGTTTTTTTGCTATACTTCTCACCATCTTATCGTAATCTTTATGAAACACCTGTACGTACACTTCATACTAGATCACTTCAGTAAGTCGTAATTATAATTTATGCAGCAAAAATCTGAATTTGATTGTTTGGTTTCAAATTTCATCGGTTTAAATTAAACAATATTTAAATAACACTAATGTTTGGAAATACACATTGTGATGTCGAAAATCAATCATTATTCAAAAGTTAATCAGAAAAAACAAAAGCATACCATATGCATTACAAAAAATAGCCTAAATGAGTTTTTTACAAAATTAAAAACGAATAAAACTTTTTACAATAAATACAAGATGACTTAATTTGGTTATTGATATCTATTGATATTAAATATGCAAAAAAAAAAGTCTAGTATCAACTTGTACAAACTTGTCTCTTACCTATAATATTTTGTACTATGATTTTTGCTGGCATTAAGCAGAAAATAGTCATTCTTTATTTAATGGCTGATAGTATTTGCAT